CTTAGTTTCATATTTGAAGTGATGTAATCGATTTGGCTATAATTTGTATAAGTTACTGTCTGTAAGTTGCCATATAAAAGAAACTTAGGCTTGTTTGTTTCTGTTTTGGTTTTTAATTTTTAAAAATTATATTTTAAAACAATTTTAAAAAACTGTTTTTAAGAAGAAAATGAAAATAAAACTTATGTTAACAAAATAATTTTTTTTTTTTTTACTTTCAAAAAGAAAAATCTGTTTTTAAAAATAGAAAACACACAAGCTCTTATTTTCTTTATGTATTTAATGTATGGGCAGGGTATGCATGTGGACGGCAGTCTTGTTGTTCCTACTGGCCATCTTAGGAGCCTGCTCCGTCATCAACAGGTTCACTCGCCTAGTGGGGGAACTGTTTGGCCTTCTTATCGCAATGCTTTTCATGCAAGAGGCTATTAAAGTAAGAGACATTTTTCTCTTTTCTCTGATAGTAATATTGATACATAAGTTTTTGAAGCTCAAATGATTATTTGGTTCTAGCATGAAGTAATGGAAATATAAAGATTGATGATAAAATATTGGATGGGAATCAATTCAACTGAAAAAGATTATCTATAATTGGGTTTAACAGGGACTCATTGATGAGTTTAATATACCTGAGAGAGCAAACCTAACATCACCTGAGTTTCAATCTTCATGGAGATTTGGAAATGGCATGTTTGCTTTGATTCTGTCCTTTGGTCTCCTGCTTACAGCATTGAAAAGCAGAAAGGCAAGGTCTTGGCGATATGCATCAGGTAAGACTTCTGAAATTTTGTAGAAACCATGTGCATTTCCACCATCAACATGACATGAAGTAAGCATGCACAAAACTTTCTTTCCATTATGGTCAGTTGTTGCACAAACACTATATTCTTCCATTGGGATGTGCATGTTGAAAGAAGTATTTAAAAGAAGTCAATAAGCTAATAAGTAATAATTTACATGACATGGATTTTGTTCTGTAAAGTGATGTGCTTGAATTTGATTTAATACCTTCTGCATCCCTTTTGCTTCCCACCTTAAGGCCTCCTATGTGACGAAAATAACATAACTACATGCTAGCCTTAAAAGAGAATAGCTGCTGTGGGAACAATGTTGTTGAGGGGATATGGATTGCAGCTAGCATTCAGTTATGGTAGAGTTGTTTTTGCTGCTACCAAGTGGACTTAGTAATCTGTATATGAATTTCTGCCTTAAAGAAAATTTTGTTGCTACTCTTAAAAAGTAAATTTTGTAAGATGACCTCTCTTTAATGCACAAAGAAAGACTTGAGCCCATAATATGCCAACTTTATAATTTTCTATTGACCTATCAAATTTACTTTGAAAATGGAAGTCGATCATATGTTTCGTAGTTCTTAGACTATTTTCTCCTTGTTACAGGATGTTTACGGGGCTTCATAGCAGATTATGGTGTCCCATTGATGGTTCTTGTGTGGGCTGCCATTTCTTATATTCCAACTGGAAGTATCCCAAAAGGAATACCTAGGCGCCTCGTCAGTCCAAATCCATGGTCCTCTGGTGCATTTGAAAACTGGACTGTCATAAAGGTGATGATTAAAGTCCAAACTGGACTGGCTAGTTAATAAGTCCTATTTACTTTATATTAGGAAATATGATGGTTAAAGTTCTCTTTTATAAAAATGTTCAGTTCCTCCATAGAAATTTTTCATGAAATATTCAGAATCACTGACAGGATATGCTGAATGTACCAGTTCTCTATATTATTGGAGCATTTATTCCAGCAACAATGATTGCTGTCCTTTATTATTTTGACCATAGTGTAGCATCTCAGCTTGCTCAACAGAAAGAGTTCAATTTAAGAAAGCCACCTTCTTTCCATTATGATATACTTCTTTTGGGATTCATGGTACATGATAATCCTTCTTCTATTTGATCCTTTGCTTTATATAAAATTGCTTTGGTGCTTTGCCTTTTGCCTAACGCTCTTTGCTTTCCCTTGCAATTTGATATTGACATTGTGTATGGCTTCCTGATCTGTTCATAAACTGAATGTGATCCTTTGGCAATATTTGATATGTTGAATGAATGATAGGTTATATTATGTGGTCTAATTGGAATTCCCCCATCAAATGGTGTCATTCCACAATCTCCAATGCATACCAAAAGTTTAGCTACATTAAAGCACCAGGTAGAAATTAATTATAATTGCAGTCCCGTTCTCTCATTTTATAGAGCTTTACTGTGATAAATGTTGCCAACCTTAAAGAAGTAAGTGGAACATGAACACATTATGATATTATGATTACATGTGCACTGAAACTATCATCATCTTTATATTTGGGTGATTTGCAGTTACTTAGAAAGCAACTTGTTGCTACAGCACGAGGTTCTATGAAAAAGCAAGAAAGCTTGGAACAAGTATATGAAAGTATTCAAGATGCATACTGGCAGATGCAAACCCCTCTAGTTCACCAGGAACCTTCTTCAGTGGTACTTGGGATTGTGGTCTTTTTATCAATCACCCTTCTCCTTCCACCTATATGACAGAATCACTCTTCAATAAGGAACAAATTGAATTTGATAACAGTTTTCTGGCATCTAATTCCAATGTTCTGTTTCATGTTTTGAAAGTGTCCTATTCTAAACCTGATGTAAAAAGAATCTTCCATTATATCATTGTTTTTATGGTTTAACAAACTGAACATATTCCGATATTGTCTCTAGTTCAAACAGGAAATAGCATATCATGTTAGCATCCAACCTTGCCTAAACCCGTTTTGACAGGGACTTAAACAGTTAAAAGAGTCAACCATTCAAATGGCATCAAGCATGGGGGGTATAAATGCTCCAGTTGACGAGTCAATATTTGATGTCAAGAAGGAAATCGATGACCTATTGCCTGTTGAAGTCAAAGAACAACGAGTGAGCAACCTGCTCCAATCTTTGATGGTAGGAGGATGTGTAGCAGCAATGCCTTTCCTGAAAATGATTCCAACTTCTGTACTCTGGGGCTATTTTGCTTTCATGGCCATTGAAAACTTACCTGGAAACCAGTTCTGGGAACGGATTTTATTAATTTTCACTGCTCCAAGCAGAAGATACAAGTATGATACGCTCTAAAACAGCATTTCATGTCTGCTTTTTCTCTTTCCAGAAAAGTTGAATTGTCACTATATTACTGAGTTGCTGCCTTTGTTTTTTTCATTTGAAAAATAATTGTAGAGTTCTGGAGGAGTGCCATGCAACTTATGTGGAAACTGTACCATTCAAGACAATTGCAGTATTTACAGTCTTCCAAACTGCTTACTTACTTGTTTGTTTTGGTATCACTTGGGTTCCAACAGCAGGGGTTCTATTCCCATTGATGATCATGCTTCTGGTTCCTGTAAGACAGTACATTCTGCCCAAGTTTTTCAAAGCAGCACACCTTCAAGATTTAGATGCTGCAGAATATGAAGAGGCACCTGTTTTACCATTCAACCAAGCTACTGTAAGTCTTCAATACTAGAGCCAAATTTTTATTTAGCTACATACAAGGAGTTTTATCTCTTAGTAGAAAGAAATAAATGAAACTACTTATACGTGCAGGTCTTGGAATTACATGAAACACAAATGATGTCAATATCAATAATTTCAAGCAGTTATATAATGATTTAGATTTCTTAGGATCATGACACTTGCATGACAACTTCGAGATCAATCCATGACTTAGGCTCCTTTTTTCCATGCTTCTTGTTGTGGCTGTGCAGGAAGGGGACTTGAGCAGGACAGCTTCCTTTGCAGATGATGGAGAGATTCTAGATGAAATAATCACTAGAAGCCGGGGTGAGGTTAGACATGTATGCAGTCCAAAGGTTATGAGCTCCACTGCAATACCATCCCAAGTGTTCACAAGTTTAAGGTTCCCAGATAAAGTATCCAGCCCTCGGGTAAGTCAACTCAGAGGAAATCACAGCCCTAGAGGTGTTGGGAGAGGACCATTTAGCCCTGGAGAAGCAAGGCCATCCAATTTGAGCAAAAGCGGTTGAACACTGATAGTCTTTGATTAGTACTTATGACCTTAAATTACAAGAGAGCGTTAATGTCTATCGATTAAAAAGAAAATGTAAGATTGGATAGAGTCTATGATTTATTAGGTAATGCAATTGTCTAGGCATTGAAATGTTGCTACTTTACCAACTTTTTATTGACTACATGTCTCCATAATCTGTCATTGTTCAAGTCAGAATGAAGCTCTAAAATCAACCACTCATGTAAAATAAATATCGCGAGACGGCTTGGAAAAGACAAGTTTTGGAGTCCTAAATAAATTTTCATTAACGAGCAAAAGCTTTGATTCTAAACCAAACCAGACCATTATAAACCTAACAAATGATCTATTAGAGAGCGCAATGCTATCGTTAACAAAATTGTTCGTTCTTGAAACGCGGTCAACCTCAATCTTGTTAATCTTATAAATATTCTTCTCAACATCATCCTGTGGTTGATGCAATGTGAATTCCATGTAACATCGTGCAAATTATGTAAGATCACTTTATAAGTAATCAATCATACGGTGTTTCTCGCTACTCTAGAATAATTGCTAAAAAATAAAGTTATGTCGAGATGTTGAATCGAGAAAACTGGAAGAAACCAACTGGTGAATCACGTTTTGCTTTAGTTGTATGTTGTATGACTCATTAAACACTTGTCATTAACCCTTCAAGTCCAACATTTTTGGCTTGGTTTGACTGTAAAAGGATTTCTTGTTCTTCATAAAAACTAAACGCTCTTCATCAAGAACATGAAATCCTAACATATAACTAAACTTCTACCCCCAAGAAAAGCAAGAAAAGATTTTACGAACCTTAAAACAATCCAGCTATCGGAAGCCCACAAGTGACAATACCTTGAGGCCAGAAATTGTAGATATGTTTTATGCGTAGAGAATTGGAACATAATAATGCCATAATCTCTTGGCTTAGACTTATTTGGTATCATACACAATGCTTTTTCAATGTAAACAAGAACCAAAATTGAAATATAAAAAAGCAAGACGGATCACTGTTATTTCCTCCAAAGGTTTATTAGTTCTACACTGGCACAAACGTCAAAAGATTCACCAAGAAAGTTTTAAAAAACTTAAAGCACTATTGATATGAAAGAGTAACAGCAAAACAGCCATTGTGCTATTTTCTGAAATTGTTTTTGGTAACATTTTAGCATAACCAATAACCATCATAAAAGCCTTGCAATGTTTCTTCTACATGCTTGATCTGCCAAACCTTGCACTGATGGACAAACTGAATCATGTGGAATGAAGCAAATTAAGCAGCTTTAGGAGGATTCTTGCTAAATTTACGACCTGACATTTGCTCTGACTCATAGAGCATGTGATTGATAAGCCCTCGTGCAGCACTGAAAAACCAGAAACCAGTCTATAAATAAGTAATTGAATTATAAATTTCTCACGCGCATGATTTTGTGCACGGAGACATCAGAAATGTATTGCAGCTCATGAAGGGGAAAGAGAGTAAAAGGGAAGACACTGGGAATAAGCATGCACAATATAAATGCAATATACTAGACTGAAGCTTACTCATCCTTCAACTTTTCAATCTTCTCGGGATCTGTCTCATGCATGTGTCTCTTAAACTGTTGTCTCACCATCTCAACAAGAAGCTCCGTGTTATGTTTCTGCAAGCAGGCATATGATAATCAATTTCATGCATGTTAGTCTCATCATACATGTACAACAAATACAGTGCTTCGACAGAAAGAGTGCATTACAAGCTGAAATAGGATATTAACCCCAGGGGAGAAGCACACCATGATCATAAAGGATAGCCTTTGTATACACTACATTAATCAATACGGGGGTGCACATGCCTCCACTTACTTTAAAAAATGTTTAATACTATTATAGTATTAATTTGTTATTTAAGTTTCATCTTTTTAATTTTGCTAACAAGGATTTAAATTGTTTTTCATATGATGCAAGAAGAGTTATCTTGCCCCACTACCCAGGATTTCTGGATCTGTCCCTAGTTGTATAAGTAAATGAAGCTGTATACTCGGAGGATCAGAATATCTCCAACATGTTAAATCTAAATATCTTAATATGCACATCAATTGCAAGTGTTTAGAAAACATATATCACAAACTTGAGCCAATGGTAAAACTTCTGAGCATAGCAAACAACAAACCGAGTTTTTCACATATAATCAATTTAAATTAGGCTGATAGCAAGAAACTACAACTGAATTTGCTTGAAAGGGAAACAGAGAAAATCACATACCCGATGACCAATAAATTTTGCTCTTCGCAGACATTCACGGTAAAGCTATAAAACAAAAACCATAAAGGTAAAAAGGAGTTTTTTACTTTTTATAAGGCACAAAATTTGAAAAATTGAAAAACAGAAGCAAAGGATTTTCAGTATCTGACCCTAATGGCATTGTTGGCGAGCTCAGGTGGAAGTGCAGTTTGAAGGGACGGCATTTTCAAAATGAAAGATCCTAAAAAACAACACAGGCAATTCATCGATAAGTTTGGAGGCAGAAAAGCAAACATGGTGTAACGAAAAATTTGCTCGAAACCCATCACAAGATTGACAAATTGGGATAGTTGGAAATTGCCTGATACTGATTTTTCTGAATCAAAACCAAAATCAGCTTCTGAGCCCCGCGCGGTGACAGAGAGTGAGTGTGCACGACCAAAGTAAAGAAGACGAAAGAGGAACACACACTGCGTTTTGGGTGGGCCTTAGGAAACGACTTGGCGTTTTTATATTACTAGAATCACAGAAGAGTGCTTTCTCTTCCCTTCGTTGGAGAGGGTCACTATGCTGGACACGGAGTTAAAACAATGAAGAGAGCTTGTAATTGTTTATTAAAAGTTTAATAATTAAAATTGTAATAAAATTTAAATATATGTATAAGTAATAGTTATAAGTATATTTTATATTTTAAAATATAATTTAATCAAAAGTTAACCTCTTAATTTGTATTATCACAATGTTTGATCAACTTTTTAAATTTTTATTTTGTGTTTTTGTTCGCAAAGCTGGGCTTCTACTTTTAAGAAGAAAAGCTAAAAAAAAAACAAAGGCGGTTAAAAGCTGTTAAATAGAAATATGCTAAGAAAGTGTCCACATTGACACGGGATGAATTTATTTATTTTTTTAATCTCTGTATTCGACCCGAATCGCGCTCATAATAGATTAAATTTATTATTAAATTTTTTTTATATCCATAAAAATTCAAATTCAAAACATTACTCAAATGATAGTTGATATCGAACCATTTACTATTCAAATTAACTTTTGGTGACATTAAATAATTTTTTTTAGTGTAACATATTTTCAACTTTTTTTTATGCACAAGTTCAAATATTATCTTAATTTATCTAATTTTTATTTTAGATGAAACTTAAATTAACTAAACTTTTAAAAATTTGTTCATTGATATTGGATAAACTTTCTTTATTACAACATGTTTTTAGTTTTTCTTTATGCACAAGTTCAAATGTTATCTTAACTTAAATTAACTAAACTTTTAAATATTTTTTCATTGAATTCTCAAATCAAATGATTGTACGTAGATACTTCAACAAAATTATAACATACTTTTAATATAAGTTATTTAATTTTGAAAAAAATGTTTACATGTTTGATTTAATAACTTGATGATAACAATTTAAGAATCTTAAACCTTGTCCTTTTCTTTGATAAGAAAAATAAATCGTTTTGATTTTCTTATTATTTACTTCTTAAAAAAATATATTATTTTTATTTTCAAGAATACAATCTCTAATATAATACTCTCTAATTTTTTATCTCACTTTTTATTAGTGGATAAAATTATGTGTGATTTACTAAACGATAATGTTTTACTTTTATTTAGTAAGTTTTATATGAATTTTATATAATGAGAGAATTAAAAACAATGTAATAAAAGATTACTCACTTTTTCAATTTTATTTATCTCATTAAAAATATCTTTAGATTGCAAAATTTTTAATTTTTTGTTATAATTTTGGACTATTAAGTCTCTCATTGTGAACCTTGATATGATCTACCTTCTTTGTTTCACTCTTATCCTTTGAGTGTTTGATTTGGTGTAGAGTTTCTAATTCGACTATACATTTGTAAATTTGATGGTCATTTTTGGGGTAGTATTGGTATGATTATGGGTTTAGGGACTAGAATTCTCTAAGGTAACATTATTATTAGAGAATATTTTGGCCATTAAAATATTTTATTTTTTATTTTAAAAATAATAAATATAATAATGGACGGCAAAAATTAGCATTGGATATGTAAAATTAAACATTTGTCCTTTAAACTTATATCAATCAGACATATAAAATTACTTTCCTAAATTTTTATCTCTTTATATTATTAAGTAATATGTTATTCTTACTTTATATCTCACAACATTTTCAATGACTAAAACAATGAAAAATGAGATAAAAAAAACTTTTCATTAAAGAATAATAATTAATATTATATTAAATTTCTATATAGACAAACAAATACAAATAATTTTCTTTTTTTAGGCCGTATATGCTAAACAAATAATTGTCAGTAATTTGAACAATTAAATGCTTCTATTCAGTGACTCCTTATACGCCGGAGCGTGTTTCAACGTAGCATTATCAATTAGATGGGTCCAAAAATTGAACTTAATTAATTGAATTGATTATATTAAATTTCTATGTTTTTAAACTGAATTAAACTAACAAAATCTGATTATTGTTTAGGTATTAGAGTATCAGTTTTTCAACTTCAACGATCCAATACTTGAATTAATTAGTTTCAAGTTCTTTTTCTGGTTTTTCTTCTTGTTTAGTAACAACACAATATTTAGCTAAAAGAGTTTGTTATCTAAACTAGTACAATTTTAAATTTATTTTATTTTTGTTCATGTGTATAATAAAACATCATTTTAGTTTAAAGAAACTTCTAAATTAACCAATAAACTCAAGTTATCTCTCTAATTTTTAAAAATAAAAATATATATTAAATCCGATAAATCAAACAAAATTAACCTATTTTTCATCTTGTTGATTTAGTTCGGGTTTCACAAAAAACAGTAATTTAAACCAATTCATTTTACTTGTTTTAAATTTTTGAGTAATGCTATTTTCACTTTAGATTTCCACAACAACTTCTGCAATGAAAAGAAAGATTAGAAAAAAAGAGAAATATACTATATGAAGAGACAAGGAAAAAAGTATTATGGAAAAAATATTATAAAAAAGTAAAATAAAAGTAGCTTTATTCTAAAAAAAAATCTCTCAAAATCAGTCCAATCCGACATATAGTAACATCCAGTTTGAACAACATTACATAAATTTAAACTCTTCTGAAATGAAACCTAAGCTGATATTTGAAACCTATCATATTATATATATAAATGTTCAGTCAAGCTATTACAATATAGGTCCCAAAAAAGAGACTAAATTCTATATCTCGTCACTCATCACACACAAGGGAATACCCCAAATAGGGACGAATCCTAACTAACAAAATAAGACCACAATCACAACCCACAATAATGACCCTTTTGGCTCTATACATTTGCTTACTATATGATATGCCCTTCATATTAGGAACCACAATTTAAAGTGATATGTTAATTTCTACATTCATATCCAGATAGCTCCCCCATTGTATCAGGATAACCTTCTCTTAAGCAATTAAGTGGAGGTATAGTCATGGTCTCTTGAGTTCCATAAGCATTCCAGCAAAAAGGGTCATCTAGCAATTCTCCTTCAAATGGCAAAAGCTCAATCTCAGAGAGTGTTATGTTTGTGCAAGCCACAGTGTCACTGCATGCAAAGTGTATAGGAGGGGTTCTTACATCATAAGTACCCTTTATGTTCCTATATGACACATCATTTACATGTACAGCTGAAGTCTGATTCAGACACTCCTTGGACAAGCAATAGTATTGGTCAATAATGATGCAATTTCTGACATTCTCCATTTGGATGTCCTCAAATCTTAAGCCTGTCACTGAGCCAGTACCACCTTGCCATGTCTTAATCCTAAGACCATTATCTGATTCCTTTATGATTGTGTTTCGAACAGTTAAGTTGGAGACACATGCCTGGGAATTGTGCACTCCAAGGCTTCCAATGCTGTTGAAATGAAGTGACCACATTAAGTTTTTTTTTTTTTTTTTTGAAAACTGCTCAAAATTAGCATCATAGAAACTTGGTATTGTAAAGGTTCCAAAATAGTTTTGATGTGTCTAATTAAGGCAAAAGGTGCTGCTCTGTTGTCATGCGGGGACAGAAGTGAAGAATAGAAATTGTTGTCATATTAATGATTGGTAGTTTGAACTGTTCCAACTGTTAAATTAATATAGTTATATAGATCACTAAAAGCAGAAAATAACTCCTGTGATAAACCTTTTAGGAGAATTAGTGAGGATCACTTAAAGGTTGAAACATTCCAGTTCAAAACCACTTTCCCATGATTTTTTTCTGAAGACGAGTTGGAATCTTGGGGTACAACTTGAAGAGTCTATACTCATGCTAGTGGTAAAAGTCACTTTCCATTCATTTTGCATTTAGAAATGGTTCTAGAATTGGTAATCATAATAGGGATGAATATATAAATAACAAGCATAAAATGAGTTTAATAATTAAATTATCTGTACTGTAATCATCCTTAATTGGCAGTTACTAAATAACAACCCAATTTAACTTAAAAATAAAGGAAATTGTGTGACATACCTAATTCCGTGGGTAGGAGCACAAGTTACACCCTCTATGTCCACATCTGAGCACCCGGGTCCAATTGAAATGCAGTCATCACCTGTTCAGAAATTACATTCTTGTTAACTTCTTTTAACATTTAAAAGGAACATAGAACCAAAGTGCCAGCAAGTGAGACATTGTTCTTTAGTCTTTACCATTGCTTATCATGGTGTTATATATCCCGACACCCTTTGTGTTTCCTAAGTGAATTCCATCAGTATTGGGACTGAGTTTAGGCGAAGAAATGGACAACTTATCAATCAGCACTCCTTGGCAACCATCGAATTTCACGTGGAACATAGGACTGTTTTGAATTTTCACCCCACTCAGCATCAAATTGGAGCTCATGAAGAACCGTATCATCTATAATAGAAAAGAGAAACAATTCTAAGACACTTGAGAAAGAAAAAAACCAGTTATGTAATAGTTGAGCTGAATTCTTAGTGGTTCACTCACTGTAGGGCTGTCACATGGTCCTGATTTAGTATTTCCATCGGGACCCTGAAATGCCATTTTTTTATTAGCATATTTAGTTTGAGTTCATTTAACATTAAATAAATAAAACAATAATGAAATGGTGTCTATTTTATTATTGGGTAGGTGAATTGATTACCCTGTGAGGTTTGCAAGGTAGATCCCACCACTGTTCTCCATTGCCTTCTATGATTCCTGTCCCATTAAGAGTCATTTGATCAAGTCGATAAAACACAAGCCATTGATTGCGGCTATCTTCCTTAGGCCAACATTCTGGTCCATCTGGTGCCATGAGAGTACCATCCACCTGTTCACATTTCAACCTTGTTAGTAAGTTATATTTGCAACCTAGCAAGGGAAAATGTACATTTTTTTTACGCAATAATATTAATTATAATAAAAGAATATGTTAACATATGTCCTTAAGACAAATTTTAATCAATTATAAGTAGTAATTTTTTTGTTCTAAAAAATTATCCATTATATGGATAATACAAAAAGGTAATAAATGTTCATTTATTTCAAATAAAAACTTATTAAATTTTATATGTTTAGCACTGAAAACTTATGTTAACAAAAGTGTAATAAGAATGGCATGAAAATTTAACAAGCATTCTTACCTGAAATACTAGTCCTGGCTTGCATGGACCTGAAAAAATTGTTGAAGTGATCATAAAGCAGTAATTTTCTGGAACAAGAACAACCCCTGACTCTACTGCACAAGCAGCTTTCCATGCTTCTCTGAATGCAGCAGTGTCATCAGAAGAACCATCTCCAACTGCACCAAAGGATCTTACATCGAAAATGCAGTTTGAAGGTGAATCCCCCGGATCAATTGGAGAAGGGTCAGAGGGAACACTAGGAGGATTGGAAGGGGGTGAAGGTGGATCCTCTGGTGTAGGTGGATTAGCAGGAGGCTTAGGAGCAGGGGAATTTTTCTTCTGCCTCTTGTGATTGTGGTATCTTCCTTCCACATTATCCAAATTTTGGATAAAAAGAATCATGGTAATCCAAAGGATAAAAGACCAATGAATGAGACTCATTGTTAGTCTCATGTCTAAGAATTTTAACACTGAACTAACAATGTGTGCACCAATGTGAAACCACCGCAACTTGCTCCAAAGATGCTATCTGTGGTTAGAAAATACGAAATTCTAGCTTGAGAAATCTTGATAAATGGAGGAGATTAAAATAACTTGTAGAGTATTCGAAGCAAATTAGTCTAGTAAGGACTATCTTGAAGCAAAGGTGGTTATTTATACTAAAACGTAGGTGATATTGTTTAGAAATAAATTCTATAGCATGAGGTGGACACGTGTTGATTCATGGTTGATTCGTTGTCTCAAGGAAACAGTTGGAAGTTTTATAGAGACCCTTTGGATGTCAATGTTATGTAGTAACCATGCCACGCTGTCTTTGTTCTACAGCCTCATTTTTATGATCATCTTTCATATTTTATCTGTATGTATTCAATGTTTTGTGGTCCGTGATATGATGCCTCCGTTCTCTTCTTGCTTTTTGGACTTAGCTTACCATGAGTTTCTCTTTTGTGTTTTCTGAATTTGTTTTCACTGCACTCTGGACAATTTTTAAAAGTGTATGTTCAGCTTCTTTGAGGTTCAAGTTCTCTAGAAAATCGTGCCAACACCAACCACACTTCTATTACTTTTTCTTCTTTTTTATTTCAATTCTGTTCATCCATAATTTCTGTAGTTGAGCTCTAAAAATAGAAATGAGATACTACTAGTACATGAGAAAAAAAAAAAAAAAAACTCTACATAAGGTCCATGGCATCTTTAGTTTGGGAACTGACTACTTGCACTTATTATGCATGCAAATTTCAAGTGTCTTTTATGAATTTTTATAGATGATGCTACAAGACTATATACTGACAGCTTAGGTTATAAATACGCAAGAATAATAAGTTCCTTTGTGGAAATTAACTAGATCAAATATATTTAACCCTTTAAGAAAAAGAGAGTATTTTTAGTATAATTAAACTGAACACATTAAATTAGAATAAAGAAGACTAGAAGCCATGTAATATACTGTTTCAAGTAAATGATCAAAAAATTTGTGAAAATGAAACTTGGTTTTTTAGCATATTTTGTCCGGTAATATGACATATTTATGAGTTTTGCCTTGGAAGAGGCCAAACCGACACATGCAGCCATTGAAAAATAACAGTATATGAGGTATTGCATGTGAATTATAGCTATATGTTAGAGAAAGATCTGTAAATAACAGAGTAGCAGATAGTAAAAAGAAGAAAGCTAAGAATCGTGGGAATCGTGAATATATGAAGCCGCTTAGGAAGACACAAAAAACAATTGAACTTACATAATAAATCACAACCACCTTTCTAATTTGAGTTAAACAAAATTTTTCTTTCCGTTTTATGAATAAGAAACTTTCTCTTGCTTGCGATATTAATCAACTAACTCTGATTAAGATGTTTTATTTTCTCATCCTTAGCTCATTCGACTTAATTTAAGGCAATTCAGATAGTACTACCACACCCATTTACATAGCTTATTACAAAATTCTATGCCCCAAAACTATTTTCATATTCCACTAAAAAAAGCAGACCAAAATTCGTCAGGCAGACCATGATCCTTTGGTTAACATAATATATGATTAAAGAGGAATAGAGAAAGCAAGAGAGAGTGAAATTTTCATAAGCTTTTCTTATCTGGTTCATCGTGATGGAGATAAATGATAGGAGTTACAACCCTTTCTCATTGTTGCTATTGAAACTTGGAAGCAGAAAAGTTTTTGTACTCATTGGACTAAATAATCTCTAACTTATTAGTTTATTTACTTATTCTAAAAATATAATAGTAAACATTTTTTGTAATGTGTTCAAGAGTGCGCAGTAAGCATGACAAAAAAAAGTACACAATAATAAATTAATAAATCATAAATTTTTATTACAAATTATAATATTTATTATTATTAAATATTAAATCTGCAATATTTATAATTTTTAATAAAACTCATCATACATAAATTTTTATTGTATATCACATTAAAAAAATAGTAAATTTGATATTTTCATCGCTCCAAATAATTATTTGTGAACTAAAGGTATTCATCACTTCCTTCTCATCCCCTCCTTCGAATCAAATTAACAAATGCAGCAGTTTAGTGAATAAAATAACATAAGAAAGTGTGTTGTGAGGCTTGAGAGGAATGCAAAGACGGGTAAATTATATTGGTGGAATGTGGTTTTGATGTAAAAGCAATCCATATCGTGACTCTTGTTGTTGTTTAGCTTATTGTGGCTATGAATTAGTGAGGAACACACATTTGGTACGCGACAACAGAATTAACGCATTCACGGGCGGAATCAAATCCCATATGATTTAATGCAAAAAAGAAAGGGTGAGAGAAAACAGATAATTATTACACAGACACACAAAGAGATAGAGACTTAGGACATAAAAAGTGACCCTCATCAAAACTAAGACCCCCCTTATATTATCCATATCTCTTACGTGACCATTCAAGCAAATAAAGGAACATCAAAATTAAAATGAGTTTGTGACTTCACCTGAGTTGTAACCATCCAAGGCAGTGGAGTTAACGAGATGTTTGTAATTAGGTGTGTGACTAAGCAAATTAACGTGCAAAAAGAATGTGACTTGGTTTGTAAAATATGTGTACGAGGGGGCTTTTATAGAAGTGCAAAGATTGGAGACTATAGATATGAAAAATGCTGAGCATGCATTCCCATTTGTCTTAACCTGTCACGTGTGTACAATCACAGGTGAGAAACTTCAAAAACAAATCAACAATCGCAGTTTCAACACAGCAAAAGTTTGTGTCTAGAGAGATTCTGGGGTGCACTTTTTTTTTATATGTGACAGAAGAGTTTGTGGCTATCTGCCATGCCACGTGTCATGGCTCACACTCACGCGCCTCACTCGCCAAGTTAGTGGTTCATTGCTTCAAAATGTGGGTCCAGTATGAGCATGATTGATAGGGCATGAGAGAGAGTCCCTTCAATTCTATTATGTATCACAGTTCCAACACAATATTTATGATCACATGCAGCTCTAAGCAGATTCTGCAGAAATCCGAGAAAAGGGTACTCTTTTTTTCCTTTGATCACTTCGTTTGAGGTCACATTTTGATGTTCATGAAGAAAGGAAGAGGGGACACGTGTTGGGGTGGAATAATTCACGGGCTGGTGTTGCTAGTGTTGTGTGTCACGGGTGAGTGTAAGTGGATTAATTAAAAAAGTTGCTTAATTATAATTTTTTGTTAATAGATTTGTTTTTGGGATTCTAATTAATGGCTGTTATTGTGAGGCAGTGATGTGGACAGCATATGAAGATCAGGAATATAACACAGCATTTTGGTGTCTGATTAAGTGACCTGTTAAACCCATTAGTTTAAGCTTAATCTTGTTCTCATTGCAGTATTTTAATTAAACATTGTGATCAGAAGACTTAGATGGACCAGCCTTGAGGGAATGCTGTCAAGTGTTCCCAAGTTCACTGGCGTTTTGCTTATTTTAACCAAGGAACAAACGCTAAAAAAATCTGCAATGAGTTTTTTTTTCTATTTTCTTTTGAGTTTTGTTAACATCTTTATCTTTAAAACAATTAAAAATGTAAATATTTAATGTATACTTAATTTAAAAAGTATTCTTGTAATAATTACAATAAAATAATAAATACTAATTTTATTTTTGTATCATGGTAAAGCATGTTTTGGCAAAGACAGAAGATAGGATGTTGGTGTGATGTTTTAATCCAAGTTAGAGTTTCACGTTAATTAAATGTATATATTTATTGTTATTACATATTATTAATATGAATTTTTAATTTTAATGGAAAAGTGACACGAATAATATTTAAATAACTGCATCTAAATTTTATCTTTTGAATAAAATTTTAACTTTTCTTTACATTTGTTTATTTTTGTATCTTTCTCTTAATTTTATATTATGTCGTCCATTTAACACCCGGGTTTTGGGTGTCAAATATCATTTTCCGAACTTTTTTTTAATGACGTTATATGGTATAACAGAAATTTGCATAGGTTATGACAACAATTTTATAACATTTTACGTATTGACCATTGAGCAAAAGCTAGCTGCAACTCAATCATCTCTTCGTGTATACAACTGTGTACACTTCTTGAATGTTCTCTCATTTTATAATTTGATATAGGAGGGTTAATATTCTCTTTTGGTTTTCAAATATGGTAACTTGTGCTATTTAATCTTTTGACAAGTTTATACACATTCGATTCTTGTAAGATGTAATATATTCTTTAATATACTATTAATTAAAAAAATTTGTTAAAAATTAAATAAGTATCAATTTTCTTATTTTTAATTTAATATTTTTTATATTTTTATAAATTTTATCAATAATGTATTAAAAAATATATTTCTACCAAGGCATTAGAGGTTTACACCTGGCAGTGCTGACGAACTCGAGATGATATATTATCTTTTGTTAAATCACGAGTTTTAGGCTTTTTGGAGAATACTGTGAAGTAGTGCTACTAATTTATACAAATAACTGTGTGCTCTTCATCCAGGTTTAAATTGAATAATTTACTAAACCAGTTCTTATAAGTATTATTTAATTTAATTTTAAAAATTATAAAAATATTATTTTAATTCCAATTTATTAAATGATAAATATTGAATTACAATAATAATTAAAACGGTATTTTTTTTATCGTTTTAAAAATATTTTTGTTCATTAGTATTTTTAAATATTATTATTTATTTTTAATAAAAAAAATATGTGTGATTTGTTAACTTGTATAAATACACTCGAGAAAAAAAAAGTATTGTTATTAACAAGCCAACTCAGCAATGAGTGTTGGATACTTCCACACAAGTGGGACTACGAATGCATAAATTGTTAATATAAGAAAGAAAATGTTTAATGGATACAAGAGTCTTAAGACTAAGTCTTGGATGAAATAAAAAGAAAAGGGATAAACTATGCTTAAATATTTTTCTCAACTAATTTCAATATGCTTGATGCATTCATTAATATTTATATTTTTAAAGAGTAATTTAATATATTACTCAAATAAATAAAAAGTTCTATGGTTCCATGAAAATGGATCTGCCCTAACTAAGACCCAAAAACAATCCATCTATCACTCTCCCATGTGTGACCCTTCAAATTAAAATTAATTAACATTTTTTGGGGTGGATAGATATGGTTAAAATTAAGTTATTTATATACCCATTTGAATTGTGGATGGTTTGGAGAGTCACTCGAAGAATGGATCAATACACATTGGGTATCTGTCACTTAAATCAGTGATGAACAGATTGGACATTGTTGAAAACAAATCATTCATGGGCCATTTATGATCCTCACAGGACTTTGTTTTTTTTTTTTTTACTCTCTTTTTTTCTTCTTTTTATACTCTATTAATATATATACATATATATATATATTTAATATTCTTCAGAATAATAAAATAAATTCTTGATTTTTTTATCTTCAAATTTAGTGTGGAATTTACATTTTAAAATTATGTTTGAAATTGACTTTTCAAAATTAAATTATGGAAGCTTCTATAAAAAATGATTTTGAAAATACATGTAAAAATGGTTAATTTTGAAAGTATAAATTTTAATTTTAGAAACTTATTTATAAAAGTAATTGATATTTTGAAAATTAAATTATAAAAGTATACAAATTTCATTTTAGAAGTTTGTTTCTAAAAATGTAAAATCCTAATTTCAGAAACTTATTTA